AAACTTTCAAGAAAACTTCATTAGTCTCTTAACTTCAAATCCTGAATCTCGTTATCCTACAAAATAATTTCGTCCAAAATTACAAATGGACAACATACGTGAATAGCAAAAAGATGATGTAGCAATCATATAACCTTACTTCGACAAGTAATGATAAAATCAAACCGCTTTAAGGAAAATAGGCTTTTTTGGTACTTAAAACACGAAAGAACTTCATAAAAATTGTGTGATTTATCGTTCTTGATGTGTTAGGTGTCAAAACGTTAGGTTGGATGTCTCGTTTTCAATCTGTTGTCTATGTAGAATGTCCGTTAATAATTATATGGGACACATACATTCATAAACAGGAACACGAAAATACAGGGAAAAAATAACGACTAAGAATAAGAGCTTGGGTCTCTTGAATGCACATGTCAAGTGCGGAGATACTCCTTAATATTGGCAGACAAGCAGGGTCATCTTGATTTTGTCCCCCCAACTCTTTGCTTTTATGATCCAATGATGGGTCAGCAATTAGCATATTATAGCCACAATTTTAGGTGCTTTCAAGTTGATCAAGACGATGCCATACACCAAACTATTCAACATATCTTATCTAGAGACTAGTAGAGAGATCATAATATGTTCATTTTCATATAGAAGAAACTGCCACAACTAGGAGGTATAAAAAACTTTGAGATGTTATTGAGGAATGAAGAAACTAAAATTTTGTTCATTATGAAGTATGGTAGTACGATTTTTACTTGGTTCAAAGTCCTTTAGGGACTAGCCAGATCTTCAACCTGAAGTGTTGATGAAGTTTTTAAAGATTTTGTTATTTAAGTAAGTAGTTTTCAGTAATTCACGAGTTATAAGCCAGACAATAATAAGTTTATGCAATTCAAAACCCATGATGATGATTATCTATATAGTATTAGAACGTAGAAAGAAGACTAAGAACAACGAAAATAATATCCATAAACATTGAGGCACGACGAATCTCTATACAGGTTCCAAGCAAAACTGAGAACAGTAAAAATAATATCAACAGATCATAGACACATGTAATTTGCTCGACCCTGGTGGCTAATTAGGACCAACATTTTGTTCAATTGGTGGCTTGAAACATCCCGCATGCATCAGCCACTTCATGACAGACCATGCCTTTGTGAAATCATGTAACAACTTTCCAGTATAAGTGCTACATCCTACAAGCAAAACAATACAATACACAAGCTTCAGAAATTTCAGAAGAAATTAAGAAGTTAGATTCGTCTCCGTTTGAGCCTCATAGCTAACAGTTTTAAACGAAAAATAAGACAGCTGATTATGATCTATTAGATATAAGGTTAAACTGATGAGGTTTTTACTATTAACTTCGACGAAAAATAGGCAACTGCATAAAGTTGGAAATCAGAGGGAATTCACTTAGAGTTTCCTATTTTGACAAGAAACATGTACTAAGAAGTATTTCTGTAATAAGATTATAAGTAGTTGCCGCTGATATTGGAGTTTTCCCTCTGAAATGCTGAATGCTGCTTCCTCATTTGTGTACAGAGAAATTATAAGGTCAAATATCAATTAAACAATTAAAAGATAATTTACTCCACCTCGACATAGCGAGGGAAGTGAGGCACTGATTTAAGAAGACATCAAATATATTTATGCATTTCCAGAATCGCCAAATAAAGGCACAGGAAAAGTTGATAGAACCGAAGTAGTAATTCATTGTACTTTAAGAGTACAAATACTATGTTTTTATAAAAAACATCGATCACATAGCTTTCATGTTTATGTTTCTCAGCTTGTAACATTATCACTACTTGGATTCATTCAGGCAGTGAAACAATGATCAAAATTATACTTCCATTACACAACATTGAGTTGTCCTACTTCTTGCTGAACAAGCTTTTCAGTTTTCCTCTCTCTAAACGCTCAAGTAGCTTCTTGGCACCGGGAATGTCCATCTCAGTAAGCTTCTTGAGATAACCGATAGCCCCATACGAAATCATCAACTTCTTACACTTTTTGCTCGAGGAAAGCAAGGTTAGACAGGAAATTGCATATTTTTTGGCTGTGTTCTGGGGGCTTGGATCGAGCAATACTACCAAATTAAGCACACATTTGTCATCTCTTCTAACTTCTCTATAATTATGGGAAAGGGTCATCAAACTTGAAATTGATTGTGCTGCAACCTCCCTCGCATTGTTAGATTTAGCCTCCAGCATCTTTATGAGAAGCGGAATGCTTCCAGATTCACCCACCAATCGTTTCGTTTCAGTCGAGCCGCAGATTAGAAAAATCACTGAGGCTGCTGCTTTTTGTGCACCAAGAGAGCCAGATTTAAGCACATGGACCAGCCTCGGAAGAAGGCCTGATGAAACCAAAACATCAACTGAAATCACTCCAACCAAGTTTCTCAATGCCCCAACTGCAGATTCTTGAGGCAGCGGACCATCTAAATACGCCAGAAGACTTTTTATTCCGCCTTCTGAAATAACACATCTCCGGAGGTTGTCATTACTTGATGTGAGATTTTGTAAGCAATCTGCTGCATATTCTTTAGATCTCAACAGGGCTCCACAATCAAGAAGATTGATCATCACCTTTATAATCCCTTCTTCAGAAAGGGCTTGCCGTGCATCAGGCACAGCCGATATATTCTTCAAGGTACAAGCCGCAGCAGCTTGCAAAACAGAATCATCAGTTCGACAGATCTCAATCAGAGGCCTAACTCCACCATGGCCAACAATTGAGCGTGCGGTTTCTGCTGACATAGACAATCTCTGGAGAGAAAACGTAGCTTTCTCTCGACTCACTGCATTACCAGATTCGACAAGCCTTATAAGGGGAGGAAGAGCGCCTTCAGAAACAAGCAAACTCTCACAACTTCCAGATTCTGCAAGCCAACATATAACGGTAACAGTTTTTTCTCTGATCCGAGGAGAAGTTGCAGTGAGCAATTGGACTAATGCTGCAATATTGCTTCGTCCTAAAACAGCCAACACATTCTTCTCATCATCTTTCATTAATTCTACAAGTGAATCAAGTGCTTTATGCTTAGCCTCGAGGTGTCCAATCTGAAGTCGTGCGAACAATTCTCTTATATTGCTATGATCTGCGGCAGCCTCTTGTTCTGCCAACGGCAAACTAACCTCTCCAAGCACCCCCGTTTTGATCAGAAGCCCACAATCGCGTAAATTCAAATCAAGTTTACACGATAGCGAATCCAAATCACTTTGCATTCTAAGTTTTCCTTCAAATTTCCCTTTTACACAAGACTCCGCCAAATCAATTACTTCATTCAATGTCCTTGAAACAGCCTGCAATTGCTCCTTACAGAGTGCATTCTTGGAGAAGCAAGGATGGCTAGACAAATCCGATAATCTTGTAGGGATTCGTTCCAATTTCGAAATTATCATCTTCCATCTCCCAGGGAACCCTTTAACCTCCCTGGCTTTTTCCAGAGCCCTGGGAACAAGCATCTGTGCACGAGATAGCCATTCCTCAGCCGACAGATTATGAGCCACCAAATTTTCCTTTCCGTCTTCAACCATGATTCAAGTAAACTAAAAACCAAACCTTAAAGCAAAGCTGGAATTACCTGAAAACAAGAAAACCAAACTTTAACAACAACAACCACCTACATGAGAATTATCGCAGATAATTCAATTTTATTTTTTTTCAACATAGATTGATCAGAATATCTTACAAACACAGTAATTCAAATTTTGACTAAAATCCACCTAGTGAAAATGAGAGACTTGGATTTTGCCAGCAAAAACAATGAAGAGGTAGGCATCAAGAAGTGAACTTCAGAAGAACTGTCAATCTCGCAGGATCACAAAATGCCAGTTTACTGAAAATGATGACAGAGCCGACAGGTAAAAATTACTAGTACTAAACAAAAACCCCCCCACAAGACTAATGGAAAGCTTTTTATATAATGATCTTAAATGCAAACGGCCATAAAATAATTTCCGACGTAAAAGTAAATAATCATGAAAGATGGAGTAAATGACAGCTGAGCTGATGAAATGAAAATAGGAACTTTCCAACGGCGATTCCGGCCGTCCAATAAAAGCAGGTGGAAGAGATTTTGCACTCTCCAAAATGCCCTTACACCCACGAAATACAAGTGTACAAGGGCGGACTTTAGACAGAAAATGAGCTAAAATGAATTGTGAAAGAAATAAAAAAAATCTGAAAATTTAATTTAAAAAAGTTCCAATATAAGGTTTTGGAAAATTCAATGGGGGCGGCCGACCCCACTCGTCCCTTAGTGGGTCTGCCCTGGTACTGTACAATCAATTATCTGCTTTTAGGTGTGGAAGGCAATATGACAGATTAAAGGGGTAGTATGGTATACTCATATAAATCAGGCAGCTTTACTTTTCGTAACCTGTGATGTGAATTGCATGCCTATAGAATCCAAATTCTATTCTTGAAATGGGAAAATGACTTTGTCCATCTCCATCTCAAGAATATGGAATTTATTTGAATTTCCGATATGGAATCAAACCCAGAAAAATATATCAAAATTAATTTGAGCAATTAAGACCCCTAAAAAAAAAAAAGAAATATTACTTCGAATTGATTCATTTTTTGCCTATGGCACTGAAGTTCTTTACCAAAATGCTTCTCAACTGTCTCCTGCAAGAAAAAAAATTATCAGTCAGAGAAATCATTTAAAACATTGATAGGAAATGCCATTTGTACGATGTTTTCTTACAACATTGTTGAGAGAAATTGCTTTTTAAACTGTTCAATGACAACGTGTCATGTAACATGTTGTCAAAAATATTGTATACCAAGCATGATTGAACATTTATAATACCTATTTGAATTTAAATAAATTATATACTCTTAGAAAATCTATCGGTTTCAAATGGAGAATGAACATGAATGGAAAGAAAAGCTGAGGATCCAACCTTCAAGTCAAGCTATAGTCTTTTCCTCTCCAGAAGGAAGCTGCGTCACCTTCATATGCCAATGCTCGATCTGAATCTTTGAAGAGAAACCCAGAAACTCAAGCTTGGAATTTCACTATCAATGATAGGTCCTGTGATAAACTTGACCAAGAACTGAAATGCCGTGGATTCTTTTCAGTGACGGACAGATCGAGCAAATTAAAAACTGAGAAGAAGGTAGAGTGGTAGGTCAACTTATGTATGTAGGTTCAATTTGAAAATATCAAACTTCAACCCGACAATGCCAACGAAGACAAATCCAAAACAAAATTCAAAATCAAAGCTCTCTCTGTATATGGATATATACATATATAAGTACATATTTGTGAGTTATTATCGATATAGAATCGACGGCAGGGATTAAAATGATTAACAGTGCAAATGACCGTTGGGATTGGTTGAAATTTGAAAGTATTCTCCACTACCGAGGAGGAGTGGGACAGTTCAGTTGTGAACTCTCAATTTGAGTCAATTATATTTGACTTCTCTTCGGTTTAGTTAAAATTCAAAATTGAAGTTAATGAAATGTGTAATCGAAAAATTGATAAAAATTTTGAATTTCATGAAATGTAAAATTGAAAATTAATTTGAGAAAAATGAGTTTTAAAAATTGAAGATCAAACCGGGACTTCATATTTGTAAATAATAAATACTGATTGCATTTAAAAGGAAAACACAAACATCATTATACTACTCTAATTATATCTTTGATTTCAATTCCCAATGTTCTCATTTTTGTAAAATTTATTCATATATATATTTTTTAAATAGGAACAAGACTTTGATGGTAATTAATCAATCAATTATTTCTTTATAATTAGTGCAAGCAATTGTATAATGTTAAATTGCGAAAAGCCTAGCAGATTATCAGCCTGTTTGGGAGTGATTTTTTCTTTCAAAAAATTGATTTTTTAACCATTATTTTATTATTCTAGATGTCATATTTGACTTCTTCTCTCACAGGTGGACCTCACTTTTTTTTCTAACGATAAAAAAATCAATTCTTGAAATTACTCCCAAACAGGCTCATGGCTGATGAACCAAGACGCGTGGGAGATTGGGTTTTGGGTTACGGGGACATGACCCTGTTTGGTGCACCACACAATGCATCCAAATATCAAATATGGTAGGCTTCCATGCCTTCCTCTTTTTGACACTACACAATTTCCCTGCCCCGTAGGCATGTAAATTTGCGCAAAATATGAGTCAATTTATTTAGAGAGACAAGTTGTGTTGAATTTGTTTATGGACATTTCTTTACAATTTATCGAAAAATGGAAGAGAATTATTATTTTAGTTTCTTTTGGAAGGATTAGTGGATAGGCTTCATATACAACAATACGTATGTGTGAAATATAATGAAAACATTTCTCCGATCGAAGGTCAAATTTAATATCAAAATCCAAATAATAGTAATAAACGGTTAATCTACATGGTAAACTCATAAATAGAAATTGAAATAACGAATGCAATGTGATTACGATCCTCTAATTGAGGAAATGGACAAAAAGACTAAGTTGCCCAAGGAATGCGATAATCATATGTGGGCGATGATAATGTAATCCTTCGAGCTGGTTAAATCACTTGTACTACGTAATTTGTTTGTAATCAAGTAAACACAATCCATTTCTCCTATTAATTAACATTACATACATGATACATATAATGCAATAAGTTGTCATCTCTTTTGAATTTGAACTTGGATGCACAAACAAACCATTCACAAAATGACAAGAGACATCCAGTCATTAACATTCTAGTATTATGATTTATCTCAAGTGTTTGTTTTATGAAAAGGACCCATTATTCGAATATATAATATATATGAAAGAAACGTCATCGGTGGGAGATTGAGGTACCATCCATTTTATACAGGTAGTATTGACAACGTGATTAGATAACTTTAAAGTATTCTTATGCGGTTGCTGTTGCTTCAAGGCCTGCTGAACATAACTTATTTTTTCATCTTTGCACAAACCTGTGGTGTCAAAGTAGGAACGGTCAGGCCAGGCCAAAAAGAAGTTCGACCCACCACAAAACCCGGGATGTCATGGGCATTTCTTTAAGCCACCGGTCTCGTCTGTTTGACACCACTCCACACACTGCACCTATAGCACGTGTTAGATATATATGGAGTGTATATAGTCCCTATTTGACAATCATTATTAGGGAAAATCAAAGTTTTGAATAATAATTTTTAGGGTACAGAAAAGTTAAATTTTGTTATGTGTAGAATATTTTATTGTGTGAACGTATGACTGAAAATGAACACGTAAAAAAAAAACATTAAGGAATAGTAAAGTTCAAGAACATAAAGAGGACACATACATGTGAAAAACAGCTTTCTGGAGAAAAAGGAAAAGAGATAAACGACCTGAAAACTATACAAGTATTCGTTGTTCTCAAAAATCACAATAATTGTTAAAATATGCAATACCTTGAACAAACGGAAAACTTTACGAGCCAAGCTAGTTGATTTGTCAACATTTTGGGCTGTGCCAGGCTCTCCATTACTCAAGAATTTTGATCCATACTGGATTGCCCTGCATATCTTGTCCCTGGCTTCAGCTTTGTTCAAATACAAAACCACAAGACCAATCTCTGTTCTGGCTACATCCAGTGAACTCATATTTTATCTACTTAACCTGAAAAGTCAAGATATCAACTGATTCAATTCGTGCAAGTAATTAGAACGCCCAGGCCCCAGGCACACAGGGTATGTAACATCAAGTGGATGATATGCGTGAATAATGTTTAATCATTGTTATCAGATGCCAACTTGTAAATAACAGTAGTCAGGAAAATGTAATGCCCTTATAATTGAGTTCCTTTTACACTTCGGTTATGTAGAGCTTAACTTATTTACATTAAGGCCTTTAAAACTGAAATTAGAAAGTCAGGCTAATTTTCACCATGCACATTGATAGGAGGCCATTCAGAAAACTTCGCCATAATATTATTAGGGGATTTCTGTTTACCTTTTCCTTTCACGATTCTTTATTTGGTTTTTGTCAGTTTTTCCTTCTTCTTCTATTTTTTATTTCCTATTTGTGTGTGTGTGTGTGTGTGTGTGAGGAGCTTTATGATCTAGTAGTCAAGTAATTGATCTACCATAGGAAGAGAAGTCACAGACCAAAAGTGTCAAGAAAAACAAGAGAGATCAAAACTGAAACAGTCATCAACTTACAAAGAGCAGACAAACAAGATTACATTGATTACTTGCAGTGCTCATAGCATGTCGAACTCTCTCTGTCTAAGAAGGTTACAAATGGAGCACGATTGTATATAGTAGGCTATGCAGTGCCATCTATTCAATATTCAGCAGTCATTCAGATTCAATCACAAACAACAGTTTTTTCATCTTTTGGCCTCTTGTCGAACTATGAAAGCGCAACAAAGTTGATCAACCAATTGGAGTTCAAAGACTTCATGTCTTATTTAAGTCCGATATGCATAATCTTACGTGCTGATATAATAATTTTATAATTAATCCCTTCCAATTAACAATTATTCAGCCAAACAATTCTATAATATTTGAACCAGCTTTAAAAGCTCCAATAGCACTACCAAAAAAAAAAAAAAAATAGCGTTTACACAAGCTACGGCAATAATTTTCAATAATCTAATTGACATCTGACTATAATTTATCAACTATACCGACTCTGTGGATGCATAACCGTTTCTTTCCGCCCATTTTTCTTTACAAGAATTAGGCGAAGGTCGCGAGAGATTCCAGCAAGTACAAAACAACAAAGAATAACAACTAAAAAAATTCATCCTTTTCCCATTCCAAACATAAAAACGAAGAGAACAATAATAATAGTCAAGGATAAGAATGACTAGAAAAGCCATAATTGAATGCACCTGGACTGGAAGATAAAAATCAGTAATAATCCAAACAGATTAGGGATTTACAGAGATATATACAAGCGTATGAATATGTACAAACAAGAGAGTTAGTTATTACCGGGGACTGTGCCGAGCCTTTTGTCTCGAAATTCGCAATCTCTCCTTCGACTCTCCAGTTCGATGATTAGATTGAGGCTTGACTGATAAAGCCGTGTTTGGTCCTCTCTTTTCTAATTTCTAATTTTTCTTTTTCGTTTTTTTTTTTCCCTTCCAAAAAGGTAGAAATATTAAATAATAGTAAACTGGGGATATTCGGTTGGAATAATTGAAATATTAATAAAATTTATACAAGTTAATATATGAGATTAATGAGAAATGGGATTTCAGAGATTCCTACTTCATAACTCTTTATAGATCAGATCATAGCCGTTCTTTGTTCAATCGTAGCCCCGTTAATCTTCGATCAACGGCTGCAGCTGCAAGTTTGCTATATATATATCTCGAGGGAAATGCATTTCAAGTTGTTTGGGAACATGAGCTGTAGAGTAGCAATTAAGCTTTTGTTTGGGTCAATTAAATTTTTTTTTATTATAATTTAAGTCAAAATCAATAATTAATTTTAACGACACATTCACACGGACACACATTCCATCAACTTTAATCAAAACTGACTAAATTTTAATTTTTATCTAAATTAAACATGGGACTAATTATATACAATTTAATTAATGGACGAATAACATGAACGATACCCGTACTTTCCACTATGCGGAGAAACGTCAAACTTTCAAGAAAACTTCATTAGTCTCTTAACTTCAAATCCTGAATCTCGTTATCCTACAAAATAATTTCGTCCAAAATTACTAATGGACAACATACGTGAATAGCAAAAAGATGATGTAGCAATCATATAACCTTACTTCGACAAGTAATGATAAAATCAAACCGCTTTAAGGAAAATAGGCTTCTTTGGTACTTAAAACACGAAAGAACTTCATAAAAATTGTGTGATTTATCGTTCTTGATGTGTTAGGTGTCAAAACGTTAGGTTGGATGTCTCGTTTTCAATCTGTTGTCTATGTAGAATGTCCGTTAATAATTATATGGGACACATACATTCATAAACAGGAACACGAAAATACAGGGAAAAAATAACGACTAAGAATAAGAGCTTGGGTCTCTTGAATGCACATGTCAAGTGCGGAGATACTCCTTAATATTGGCAGACAAGCAGGGTCATCTTGATTTTGTCCCCCCAACTCTTTGCTTCTATGATCCAATGATGGGTCAGCAATTAGCATATTATAGCCACAATTTTAGGTGCTTTCAAGTTGATCAAGATGATGCCATACACCAAACTATTCAACATTTCTTATCTAGAGACTAGTAGAGAGATCATAATATGTTCATTTTTATTTAGAAGAAACTGCCACAACTACGAGGTATAAAAAACTTTGATATGGTATTGAGGAATGAAGAAACTAAAATTTCGTTCATTATAAAGTACAGTAGTACGATTTTCACTTGGTTCAGAGTCCTCTAGGGACTAGCCAGATCTTCAACCTGAAGTGTTGATGAAGTTTCTAAAGATTTTGTTATTTAAGTAAGCAGTTTCAGTAATTCACGAGTTATAGGCCAGACAATAATAAGTTTATGCAATTCAAAACCGATGATGATGATTATCTATATAGTATTAGAACGTAGAAAGAAAACTAAGAACAATGAAAATAATATCCATAAACATTGAGGCACGACGAATATCTATATAGGTTCCAAGCAAAACTGAGAACAGTAAAAATAATATCAACAGATCATAAACACATGTAATTTGCTCGACCCTGGTGGCTAATTAGGACCAACATTTTGTTCAATTGGTGGCTTGAAACATCCCGCATGTATCAGCCACTTCATGACAGACCACGCCTTTGTGACATCATGTGACAACTTTCCAATATAAGTGCTACAGCCTACAAGCAAAACAATACAATACACAAGCTTCAGAAATTTCAGAAGAACTTAAGAAGTTAGATTCGTCTCCGTTTGAGCCTCATAGCTAACAGTTTTAAACGAAAAATAAGACAGCTGATTATGATCTATTAGATATAAGGTTAAACTGATGAGGTTTTTACCATTAACTTCGACGAAAAATAGTCAACTGCATAAAGTTGGAAATCAGAGGGAATTCAGAGTTTCCTATTTTGACAAGAAACATGTACTAAGAAGTATTTCTGTAATAAGATTATAAGTTGTTGCCGCTGATATTGAAGTTTTCCCTCTGAAATGCTGAATGCTGCTTCCTCATTTGTGTACAGAGAAATTATAAGGTCAAATATCAATTAAACAACTAAAAAATAATTTAATCCACCTCGACACAGAGAGGGAAGCGAGGCACTGATTTAAGAAGACATCAAATAGATTTATGCATCTCCAGAATCACCAAATAAAGGCACAGGAAAAGTTGATAGAACCGAAGTAGTAATTCATTGTACTTTAAGAGTACAAATACTATGTTTTTATAAAAAATATCGATCACATAGCTTTCATGTTTATGCTTCTCAGCTTGTACCATTATCACTACTTGGATTCATTCAGGCAGTGAAACAATGATCAAAATTATACTTCCATTACACAACATTGAGTTGTCCTACTTCTTGCTGAACAAGCTTTTCAGTTTTCCTCTCTCTAAACGCTCAAGTAGCTTCTTGGCACCGGGAATGTCCATCTCAGTAAGCTTCTTGAGATAACCGATAGCCCCATACGAAGTCATCAACTTCTTACACTTTTTGCTCGAGGAAAGCAAGGTTAGACAGGAAATTGCATATTTTTTGGCTGTGTTCTGGGGACTTGGATCGAGCAATACTACCAAATTAAGCACACATTTGTCATCTCTTCTAACTTCTCTATAATTATGGGAAAGGGTCATCAAACTTGAAATTGATTGTGCTGCAACCTCCCTCGCATTGTTAGATTTAGCCTCCAGCATCTTTATGAGAAGTGGAATGCTTCCAGATTCACCCACCAATCGTTTCATTTCAGTCGAGCCGCAGATTAGAAAAATCACCGAGGCTGCTGCTTTTTGTGCACCAAGAGAGCCAGATTTAAGCACATGGACCAGCCTCGGAAGAAGGCCTGATGAAACCAAAACATCAACTGAAATCACTCCAACCAAGTTTCTCAATGCCCCAACTGCAGATTCTTGAGGCAGCGGACCATCTAAATACGCCAGAAGACTTTTTATTCCGCCTTCTGAAATAACACATCTCCGGAGGTTGTCATTACTTGATGTGAGATTTTGTAAGCAATCTGCTGCATATTCTTTAGATCTCAACAGGGCTCCACAATCAAGAAGATTGATCATCACCTTTATAATCCCTTCTTCAGAAAGGGCTTGCCGTGCATCAGGCACAGCCGATATATTCTTCAAGGTACAAGCCGCAGCAGCTTGCAAAACAGAATCATCAGTTCGACAGATCTCAATCAGAGGCCTAACTCCACCATGGCCAACAATTGAGCGTGCGGTTTCTGCTGACATAGACAATCTCTGGAGAGAAAACGTAGCTTTCTCTCGACTCACTGCATTACCAGATTCGACAAGCCTTATAAGGGGAGGAAGAGCGCCTTCAGAAACAAGTAAACTCTCACAACTTCCAGATTCTGCAAGCCAACATATAACGGTAACAGTTTTTTCTCTGATCCGAGAAGAAGTTGCAGTGAGCAATTGGACTAATGCTGCAATATTGCTTCGTCCTAAAACAGCCAACACATTCTTCTCATCATCTTTCATTAATTCTACAAGTGAATCAAGTGCTTTATGCTTAGCCTCGAGGTGTCCAATCTGAAGTCGTGCGAACAATTCTCTTATATTGCTATGATCTGCGGCAGCCTCTTGTTCTGCCAACGGCAAACTAACCTCTCCAAGCACCCCGGTTTTGATCAGAAGCCCACAATCGCGTAAATTCAAATCAAGTTTACACAATAGCGAATCTAAATCACTTTGCATTCTAAGTTTTCCTTCAAATTTCCCTTTTACACAAGACTCCGCCAAATCAATTGCTTCATTCAATGTCCTTGAAACAGCCTGCAATTGCTCCTTACAGAGTGCATTCTTGGAGAAGCAAGGATGGCTAGACAAATCCGATAATCTTGTAGGGATTCGTTCCAATTTCGAAATTATCATCTTCCATCTCCCAGGGAACCCTTTAACCTCCCTGGCTTTTTCCAGAGCCCTGGGAACAAGCATCTGTGCACGAGATAGCCATTCCTCAGCCGACAGATTATGAGCCACCAAATTTTCCTTTCCGTCTTCAACCATGATTCAAGTAAACTAAAAATCAAACCTTAAAGCAAAGCAGGAATTACCTGAAAACAAGAAAACCAAACTTTAACAACAACCACCACCTATATGAGAATTATCGCAGATAATTCAAATTTTTTTTTTTCAACATAGATTGATCAGAATATCTTACAAACACAGTAATTCAAATTTTGACTAAAATCCACCTAGTGAAAATGAGAGACTTGGATTTTGCCAGCAAGAGGTAGGCATCAAGAAGTGAACTTCAGAAGAACTGTCAGATTTCCAAGGCGGTGGCTTGTATTTCCAAAATGGCAAAAGAGACAACTTTTAGAATAGAGAACTTAAAGGTCTGGACCAGTTATAAATAAAGGGCCAATCTCGCAGGATCACAAAATGTCAGTTTACTGAAAATGATGACAGAGCCGACAGGTAAAAATTACTAGTACTAAACAAAAACCCCCCCACAAGACTAATGGAAAGCTTTTTATATAATGATCTTAAATGCAAACGGCCATAAAATAATTTCCGACGTAAAAGTAAATAATTATGAAAGATGGAGTAAATGACAGCTGAGCTGATGAAATGAAAATAGGAACTTTCCAACGGCGATTCCTGCCGTCCAATAAAAGCAGGTGGAAGAGATTTTGCACTCTCCAAAATGCCCTTACACCCACGAAATACAAGTGTACAAGGGCGGACTCTAGACAGAAAATGAGCTAAAATGAATTGTGAAAGAAATAAAAAAAATCTGAAAATTTAAATTTAAAAAGTTTCAATATAAGGTTTTTGAAAATTCAGTGGGGGCGGCCAACCCCACTTGTCCCTTAGTGGGTCTGCCCTGGTACTGTACAATCAATTATCTGCTTTTAGGCATGGAAGGCAATATGACAGATTAAAGGGGTAGTATGGTATACTCATATAAATCAGGCAGCTTTACTTTTCGTAACCTGTGATGTGAATTGCATGCCTATAGAATCCAAATTCTATTCTTGAAATGGGAAAATGATTTTGTCCATCTCCATCTCAAGAATATGGAATTTATCTGAATTTCCGATATGGAATCAAACCCAGAAAAATATATCAAAATTAATTTGAGCAATTAAGACCCCTAAAAAAAAAAAAGAAATATTACTTCAAATTGATTCATTTTTTGCTTATGGCACTGAAGTTCTTTACCAAAATGCTTCTCAACTGTCTCCTGCAAGAAAAAAAATTATCAGTCAGAGAAATCATTTAAAACATTGATAGGAAATGCCATTTGTACGATGTTTTCTTACAACATTGTTGAGAGAAATTGCTTTTTAAACTGTTCAACATGTTGTCAAAAATATTGTATACCAAGCATGATTGAACATTTATAATACGTATTTGAATTTAAATAAATTATATACTCTTAGAAAATCTATCGGTTTCAAATGGAGAATGAACATGAATGGAAAGAAAAGCTAAGGATCCAACCTTCAAGTCAAGCTATAGTCTTTTCCTCTCCAGAAGGAAGCTGCGTCACCTTCATATGCCAATGCTCGATCTGAATCTTTGAAGAGAAACCCAGAAACTCAAGCTTGGAATTTCACTATCAATGATAGGTCCTGTGATAAACTTGACCAAGAACTGAAATGCCGTGGATTCTTTTCAGTGACGGACAGATCGAGCAAATTAAAAACTGAGAAGAAGGTAGAGTGGTAGGTCAACTTATGTATGTAGGTTCAATTTGAAAATATCAAACTTCAACCCGACAATGCCAACGAAGACAAATCCAAAACAAAATTCAAAATCAAAGCTCTCTCTGTATATGGATATATACATATATAAGCACATATTTGTGAGTTATTATCGATATAGAATCGACGGCAGGGATTAAAATGATTAACAGTGTAAATGACCGTTGGGATTGGTTGAAATTTGAAAGTATTCTCCACTACCGAGGAGGAGTGGGACAGTTCAGTTGTGAACTCTCAATTTGAGTCAATTATATTTGACTTCTCTTCGGATTAGTTAAAATTCAAAATTGAAGTTAATGAAATGTGTAATCGAAAAATTGATAAAAATTTTGAATTTCATGAAATGTAAAATTGAAAATTAATTTGAGAAAAATGAGTTTTAAAAATTGAAGATCAAACCGGGACTTCATATTTGTAAATAATAAATACTGATTGCATTTAAAAGGAAAACACAAACATCATTATACTACTCTAATTATATCTTTGATTTCAATTCCCAATGTTCTCATTTTTGTAAAATTTATTCATATATATATTTTTTAAATAGGAACAAGACTTTGATGGTAATTAATCAATCAATTATTTCTTTATAATTAGTGCAAGCAATTGTATAATGTTAAATTGCGAAAAGCCTAGCAGATTATCAGTCTGTTTGGGAGTGATTTTTTCTTTCAAAAAATTGATTTTTTAACCATTATTTTATTATTCTAGATGTCATATTTGACTTCTTCTCTCACAGGTGGACCTCACTTTTTTTTCTAACGATAAAAAAATCAATTCTTAAAATTACTCCCAAACAGGCTCATGGCTGATGAACCAAGACGCGTGGGAGATTGGGTTTTGGGTTACGGGGACATGACCCTGTT